ACAGTCAAATTATCATGGCCTCCCAAAAAAAATATGGCAAGTTTTTACAGGTACCACGTTGCACCACACCTGCTCTCGTAGCTGATCTCCAAATAAAAACTAAACTAAGAATTGTTGATTTACACATATCACGTTTCTCCTTTTAAACCAAACAAGAGAGTATGATTGAGAATGCTTCTGTGTGACCAACTTCAGTTTTTTACCAACAGAGTAGATCTACATTCTTACAGCTCCCACCATCGATAATCAGATTGCGGACATTTCATTTCACCGTACACTTGGTGCGAACAATACCATCTCATCCATGAATGATCCTTCTTCAGCTCAGTCTACAGGACTCTCTTGTTGGCTAACATCTCTCCCTCATCTCCCTATAGTTGAAGTTCCTCCTTCGGATCCTCCTGTGCTTCCTCTTCCTTCACTTTCTCGACGATGCCTTGCTCCGTGAATGAAACAACTCGACACATGAGGCAGTTGGACGCTGTCTGTAGTCGTGACACCTAAAACATCTGCTGGTAGGCACTTTATTGGGAGAGTTACCCTTTTCATTTGTTGGTAGGCACCTTATTGGGCGAGTTACCCTTTTCGAGTTTCTTTCCACTCAGATCTGTCTAGTCACTTCCCTATCCGATCTTCCCAACTCCTACCAGTGTACCTTTGTTAGTAGTTGTGACTGAAGGTGGTTGTCTGAAGGAGGGTTGTTGTCTGCTTTGTTTATACTATCTTTCACCTTCAAAACTAAGGTCTGGAATCTCTTAGTGACTAATTGCACAACTTGGCTAATAGCGGGCTCCAAGTAGGAGTGTAAACGAACCGAAAACGAATGAACAGAGCTTGTGTTCGTGTTCGGTTCGTTTAAAATTACGTGTGTTTGAAATAGACTCGTGTTTGAAATTATTCGTGAAGTTACTGTTCGTGTTTGGTTTGATTTATTTAAAATATGTTTGAAATGTTTGAATTGTTCGAATTTGAAATCTTACAAATTTATTTGTATTGTTTGAATTTATCAAAATCTTTCAAAAATTTAAACCTATATGAAATTAATGTTTAAACTTGTATGAATCACAACACAAATGCAAAATAACCAAAACACAGCTCATAATAAAACCATAATATCATATCTCATCCATAAAAAATTCAGATTGAAAGGCAATAAATATCTCATCCATAAAAAATTCAGATTGAAAGGCAATATGCGAGATTTCACTCCTAAAAACTATGTTTCATTAAAAGAAAATAAATTTAAAAGAAATATACAAAAATTTAAGCTAAGAGACGAACCTGAAGATAAATACGAAATTACAAAATTTAATATAAGCTAAGAGGCGAATCTGAATATCAGATTATGATTTATAGGATTTTATTTTTTAAAATATGATAAATTTTTAGAGTATATAATTATTTTTAAAAAATGATAAATTATATATATAATACATATACATATATATATATATATATAAAATCTCTCACTGTATCTCTTCCTAGATAAGTTTCAACATGTGTCTCCTTAGTGGCATGGCTAAGGTTTGGAAATTGGAAAAGGAAATTTGAGAATATGATAAATTTTTTGGTGAATGTGCCATGAGTACGGCGGAATACTAAGAAACCTATGATAAGATTAGGGTTAGGCTAACTCTAATACCAATTAATATTGGACTTAACCCAAATTACAACGTAGATGCAAACATTATTATTGAAATTTAGAAGGATTACAACAAAATCTCTTAAAACAAGAACAAAATGACCCAAACACAAACGACACCCTAGGGTAAGAACGAAAAGGTAGTGGGTTGCAACTGGACAACATATATGGCTAGTTGAGGTGCCACAACAAACAGTAAAAGGCTGGATGGGTAGCGACAACAAATAGTAGAAGGCTGGAAGGAGTTGCAAGCGAGAAGACTAGAAAGGGTTGCGGCAGCAAGCAGAATGGGGAGAGAAATGAAGGAAATCACTACCTTGGAGCAAGATACATGAGCACCATCTGACCTCGGATACAACCCTAGCAAGGTAAAAAACGTTGACGACAGAAAAGTTAGAAGCAAAAAACTGAACCCTAAACAAAGAATAATAATATATATCTAGTAGTAAATAACTAGGAGGGGGAGGCCTCTCCCCTTAGGCGGAAGCCCTAACCCAGACCAAGGGCCAATCGATCCCTGCAACCTCATGCTAAATCGGTTTAGAACCTTTCCAATCAGTTTCTTGTCTGCTTTGTTTATACTGTCTTTTCACCTTCAAAACTAAGGCCTGAACATCTCTCAATGACTAATAAGGCTGCAGTTGCACAATGTTGCTAATAGCGGGCTTCATGCACCCCCAGATATCGGGCTATTGTATGTTCCTTAAGCTCGATCAGCTCACACTTCATCTGCAACTAATCAAACTGTGTCGTGGACTCCACTGATAGGCCTCTTTGTTGTAGTTGGAGTCTCCTAAACATATCATAACGCTAATGAGACGTTAGGTATTCTCCCTGCAAGTTCTTCCTCATCTTCTACCACCTGATAATCTTCTCACTAACCTCTCTTTCTTTGCCTCTGCAAATTTTCCCACCACATGGAGACGCTTTTTCATTTTAATGACCGCAAGCTTCACCTCTTATCTTATGGCACTTCTTTGTACTCCAAGCTTCTCTCAACCGATTGCAGCCATTCGATGAAATCGTCTGAATCTATAGCCCCATCGAATTCCAGTAGATCCACTTTTATTCTGAAATCTCTGTCCTCCATATGTTTTCTTCACTTTTGACCTCCTTTGACAATGAATTCCTAATCCCTATGGTCTGTCCTCCTCATCATTGAAATTCTCTCTATGGAAGAAATTCAAATCATCATCCCTTTCTCCCCTTCAACTCTCCATATCACAGTCGGGGGTAATCTTCCCTGGGTCCCGTCAAGAGTCTCTATAAGTCTCTGCTAAAGTTGACGGATTTCTCAATGTATCTCTTCCTAAGTACGTACCAACATGTGCCTCCTTGGTGGCATGACTAGGATTTGGGAATTGGAAAAGGGCATTTGAGTTTAAGGGTATGAAAGAAATGTTTTGGTGAATGTGACATGGATATGGCAGATACTAGGAAACTGGGATATGATTAGGGTTAGGCTAACACTGATACCATTTGATATTGGAGTTAACCCAAATTACAACATAAATGCAAATACTATTGTTGGAATTTAGAAGGATTACAACAAAAACTCTTAAAACAAGAACAAAACAAGCCAAACATAAACGACACCCTAGGGTAAGAACAAAAAGGTGGTGGGCTGCGGCTGGACAACATATAAGTTTGCTGGTGAGGTGCCACAACAAGCAGTAAAAGGCTGGAGTGGCAACAACAAATAATAGAAGGTTGGAAAGGAGTTGCGGCAACAAACATGAAGGCTGGAGGGAGATGCGACAACAAGTAGGACAGTTAGGCGAAGGAGAGAAATGAAGGTAATCATTACATTGGAGCAGGATATAGGAGCACCATCTGTCCTCGGATACAACCCTAACAAGAGAAAAAAATGCCAACGACAGAAAAATTAGAAGCAAAAAATTGAACCCTAAACAAGGAAAATAATATATATATATATTGTGGTAGATAACTATAAGAGGGAGCCCCCTCCCCTTACATGAAGGCCTAACCCAGACCTAGGGTTGATTGGCCGTTGCGGCCTTATTCTGAATCGGTTTAGCACCTTTCCAATCAGCAGGTGAGCCCTGCATCGATGCACATTGTAAAGCAAAAAAATCATTGAAATGAATGAAATGAACTGATAATAAGGGAAACTAATTGTTCATTATCTTTAAAAGAAGGTAATTTAAAAAAATGAAAGGTAAAAGCTCAAGTCATACAACATTACCCCAAATAGTACTGTCAGGGGATGCAATGTAACTATGCACAATAAAGAAAATAAAAAAAACGTAAAAGTGTAGATTCGGGTGCAATTTTTTTTGGGTTCCTATGCATATAATTTTGAGAAAGCCTTAAGTTACGACGGTAATCCTGATATAACTTCTTAAAGAGGTTAAAAAAGGAGTAAATATTTAAATTGAAATGAGAATGGTTAAATTTAAAATGAAAGCTTATAGTTTGATAAATTAATGAACTGTATTTTTTTGGTCATTCATGCATGGCAGTTGCATATAAATTTAATCCACATTAAGATAGTAGTTTGTAGTTGCTCACTAAGTTATGGTAAACTAATTGTTGAATTTAATTGTTTTTTTTTAGTAAACAAAAACTTATAGATTGAAATTTCTAACATGATGGATTTAGTTTATAGGAGTACTACTGCTGATAGGTATTATGATTGTAGTTTATTTATATTATTTTCTTCTGGGTAGTGATATACTATAATATGTTGGTTTGAGATGTCTACAGACAATGAGTTATTTCTAGATGTTTTGATTTCTATGTAGTGCATTTTATGATTTTTAGTGACTTTTATATATATTAGAAGTTTTGAAAATCTATGAAAAAGTAAATTAAAGATTAGCACCATCCGACCGCAGTTCCTAATTGGTTAATTTTAAGCTATTAGGTCAGGTCAAAACAAAAGTACCCATATCACAGACCTATAGTACAGACTCTTGACTACTAGAATGACTAGTCATAAAATGATAAAAGCAAGTCAAAGACCAATAGGTTTATTGTATTAGAACTTATACAACAACAACAACAAAGCCTTAATCCCACTACGTGGGGTCAGCTACAAGAATCCTTTTTTCTCCATTGCATCCTATTTATTGAATTAGAACTTATGCACTAAACAAATCACACTCTTTTCTGTCAAATGTATAGTGTAGCAGAGCCATTTATGTCCTTCAAATGACAGGACAAAATGAAAATAAACTACTTTGTTAAGCTTTAATTGAAAATCCAGGTACGTGGTATGCTACGAGTAGTATAACTATAAAAAATTCAATCAATCATATGCTAAACCAAATTCATAAGCCAAAAGTCAGTGATGAGAAATCTCAACAGATCAATCAGATAAATCTCCTATAGTTACCTGGCATAGCTCAGCATAATGTTTGTAGGCATTGCTGTGTACGTCTTGATCATAAATTAAGTTTCCACCATACCAGCTAGCTGCTTCAACTGAAGTCATCGCCAGAGACCTGCAAGTTCACAAATAACTGTTGGAATCAACTTCTAAAACCTGGGTATGAACATCTTCAAAGTATTTGTTTTGATAATTATATCTGCTTCCAATTACACATCATGATTCTACAATATTTTCTAACATTTATAAGAATTTCATAAAATTTATATGAACTACAAAATTCGGAATGAGAAATAATTATCACAAATTTGATTATGCCAATTAAAACTCATAATAAAATAATTTTTACACAATATAATAAAATTAAAATGTATATGCCTATAGTCAAACAACATCCATACATATGAAAGCCATTTTATATAAAAGTACTATAAGAATGATCGCATACATTATAGACGCACAGACTTGGTAGTTAGTTACCTTGCTTAGGTTCTTAAAGCCAACCAACAACATAAACTATTTTGAGTGTGATTCCCAAACGCAATTCCATCCCCATAGGCTTGCCCATGCGCCTGCAGACTTGCAACAACTCGCATCGCAAATACATGCAGACCAGCAGAGTCACTTGTTCGCCAGCGTAAGAGACTAGAATCCCCAGACCAAGGTACCAGATCCTTTGGGCCTATTTTGCCTAAAATAACCATGAAATTCAGCTGAAATTGGATTGTCCACAGCTATGTGGAAATCTGAGAAAATACTGAAGAAAATCTAAGAAGAGCTTGGAGGATTGATTGGGACAATAAAAGAAACTCTAGAATAGTTTAGGGGCTATTTGGTTGGAAGGACTTGTGGTGTACTGTAATTCATTTACAGGGATTTTGAGGAAATTATGTTTTTGGTATGAAGAAGTACAAGCACAATGTAAAGTTTTAATGAATTTAATGTTCACTCCTAAATTCATTTTGACTGAATTTAGAATTCGGTCAATTTGACCAAATTTCAATTACACGGTAAAATGCTATCGATAAACTGTAGCCCGCCGCCACCTACAGGCTTCCTTCAATGACACTCCTCTCCTAGCAAGTCCACCCGAATCTCCCTACTGGAACGGTTCCCTCTAGAGCCTTCCTCGGTTTTCCCTTGCAGCTTTCCTTAAAATCCCTTGTTTTCAAAGGAAACAAAACACACTTCCCTGCAGGTACACCCTAATTTCCTTGCAAGAAATTGATCTTCCTTGTAGGCTTCCTAATTTTCCCTGAAGGCTTACCAAACAGGCTTTCTCGGCTTTCCCTTGTAAACTCTTGGGAATTTCTGGTGATGGAGCCAGGGAAGGTGATTAGCAATGTTGAAAAGCACCAAGACATATACCTGCTCATGGAAAGTCTCTCTACACACAAATGATCTCATTTTCATCTTTTGTTGAGTCGGCGTTTGTTGAAAATTAGGTCTTGCTACGACATTGTCGTCTGCATCATCCTAACTTTAATGATGTTGTTAAGTTGTATCCTCATTCGTTTATCAATAAAAACTTAGTTTTTATTAATGTGAGATTTGTCAACTTGGCAAACACATTAGAGATAATTATCCTCTAACCCAGTACAAACTCACACACCATTTTGTCATTATCCACAGTGATATTTAGGAATCTTTAAAGAAGAAAACCCTAAGTGCGATCAGATGATTAGTCTCATTTATTGATGATTATACTAGAACCACTTAGGTATTCATAATGAAGGAGAAATTTGAAATAATCTAAAATTTTCAAACCTTCCATAACAAGATTCAAACTCAATTCCAATACAAAATTCAAATCCTCAAAACTGATAAGGCAAAAGAATATTTCAATTCCATCTTTGGATCTTATATTTCAGAAAATGGAATTATTTGTGTGAGTATAAGTATTTATACCCTACAATAAAATGAGATAACTGAGAGAAATAACATGCATCTCATTGAGATATCCCACTCAATTATGATGTCTTACAAAGTTCCTATATATTTTTAGGAGAAAATAGTTCTTCTTGCAACATACCTTATTAATCAAATGTTTAGCTTGATACTTCAACTCAAAACACCTCTTCATGTTTTGATAGTTACCTATCCTCACATCAAAACTACCTTCTACTATCCCAGTTAAAATCTTTGGGTGTGTATCATTTGTTCACGTCCATTCCCAAAATTGCACAAGACATGAACTTAAATCTATGAAGAGTATATTTGTTGGGTATGCCACCAATAAAAATGGGTATAAGTGGTACTCTCCTATTACCATAAAATATGATAATTATATGGATATCACATTTTTTTTTAAATCAATCCTACTAACACAAATTTGATGTTCAAATGGGATTTTAATTTTGGGATATAATTGATGACACCTACACAGTCTCAACACACCTAGTCCACATAGCCCTCCTATCTTGGTTAAGAATGTCCAACCAACCCAACATGAAATCCAAAACAAAGAACTTTGTGTATACACAAAGAAGAAGAAAAACCTTAAGCGGACAGAAGACAATTTGTGAGGATAAAACTGTTCAAACCAAAACTCGAGTTTGCATTCTCTTAAAATTTTGGGTGAGGAGTCTAGTTATCCCCTCCTCTATTGATATTGGTGACAAGAAAGCTGCATCATATATCCAAATTTAGGAGTATGCAGCTTATGAGAAGCTATCCTCATGTAATAACTGTAAGTTTTAAGTAAATAAAACAATAATATTTGAATAGGAGTGTCTCTACCATTACGAATTAGTCTGTTTGAGGCGGCTGCAGTTGTTTGAAGAAGCACTTGTGAATCTACTGAAAAAGCTGCTGTTCAAAAAGCTACGGTGGCTATTATAATTTTTTTTTTTTTTGAAAAAGATCACAACTTTCTAGCAGCCACCACAAGTGATCAGGTACGGTGGGAAAACACACTTTTTGAGAATGCAAGCAAAACAAAATTTTGTCAAACAGGAAAAGCTGCGGTACCCCGCCGTACTGCCACCCCAAACGCACTGTTAATAACATGCCCCTATCAAACCAACAAAATCGGGAGAGCGGAGAAGAGAGCAAAAAGATCGAGAGTGAGAAAGGAAAAGAAAAGGATAGAGAAGAAAGTCACCGCTTGCAATAGTGGGAGGTGACGTCGTGCCCTAACCGAAGGAAGGAGGAAAGAAGGCGACACCCTAACCTAGTTGAAGGAAGGAGAAGTCAACATCGGCACTTGCTGTGAGTTTGTTTGGGGTTATCTAAGTTAGCGTTGTGTCGTGTCAATGTGTGTGAACGAGGAGAACGACTTACTGTATGGTTTGAAGCCAAGCCAAGCTGGAAGTTAGGATTTTATTATGTAAATGCTAAAAATGAGGTTATATTATAATATAATTAATGAATTTTGAATAAAATATAAATAATTTATTATTTAAATGCTAACTGTAAGTGTTTGGATATTAGGATCGAAGTGAATAAAGTCTTGAATTGGAGGGAGATAGAGATCCATATTTGTGCAAGATTGGGTTAGGTAAATGTTAATGATTATTTATTTTAATTAAAAAAATCTAAAATAAATATGTATTAAAATATTAATAATGGTTTAATTAGACAAGATTTAAGATGTCGATGTTCAGTGTAGAGGGAGAAGAACGAAGTCACGACATTAAAGTTGAGTAATTAAATTTTGTAAAACCAATAGGCCTATACAGAAGTTTGGTGATAGTCAAGCACCTATCGTTATTGTCAACAATATTGTGCATCATGATAAGGCAGAATATTGAGGGGATCAAGAATATAAAATTATAAAGGGAACTGAGATGTACCACTAATAGGCCCATACAGATGTTCTATGACTATCAAGCACCTAATAGTATTGTCAAGAATATTGTGCATTATGATAGGACTAGGTATATTGAAGTTAATAGACACTTCATCTCTGAAAATGTTAATGAAGGAATCATACAACTAAACTACATCTCGACACTTCAACAAGTTGTTGGTGTGTTTACCAAAGCTTTTCCTTTACATACCTTCTCAAAGTTCAATATCAAGCTTGGTCTCTACAGCATCTACAACCTAGTTTGAGGGAGAGTAAAAAATCTGAGAAGATCCCAGAGCAAATCTCAGAAATTCTAGTGGTTTTGATTGGAACCACTAAGGAAACTCACGCTTAGTTTATTCCATTCCTATTCTATGTTAGAATAATTTTCTTTCCTAATTTAGTACATGGTAAGTTCATAAATTAGAAGGGATTGTTTTTTCTATATATATGTACCCTACGTGTGAATAATACAAAAGAGAATTATTCCTCTCTAAATATGTTTTCTACAAAACCCACTATATTTCAGCTGAAAATTAAATCATGGTTTGAAGAATATCATGGAGTCAGATCCTCACCGACTATCAATTTTCATAGTAATTAGATGGTAAAGTTCTCCAATTCCAATCATCCAGTTTGCATTGGATAGTGGGATTCATGATAGTATCATTTTGAAAAACACTAAGATTTTGATTTTTTTTAAAAAAATCCTAGTCATCCGAAATAGATTAGAAGATGGCTGGGATTTAACAACTTTAAAATCTAATTTCCATGGTCGTTGGAGAGGATCCAACTCTGTATGCCATATTTCACATTCAAGACAGAAAAACATAAAATTTATGATATACCGCATCCAGGCTTACTTTACTAAAAGATAACACTAGTATTAGTAAATGAAACAGCAAATATGTTTCAGCAATTGAAGACAACTCTAGCACAAATTACAAGCCCAAACAGATAGCACGATTCTCAAGAGTGAACAAAGGGGCAGTAACTTACATATGATAATAGAATATCAAAACAAGCTAAATACACTATGTATATGCAAAAAGGTTTATCATTGCACATAAAAAGATGGAATATAAACAATACATGCATGCATATGCAAAAGAATAATGCTTTCGGCAGATGAATATAACGATTACTTGAAATTTTCATTTGATTACAAAAACAGGGAAAGCTCATTGCAGCAAAACCTGAAAACATATGCGGAAGAAATGTTCTGAAATTGGAAGTTTAAAATAAGTATTGTATGCGGAAATAAATCAATCAGGAAAAAAAGTGATAATATTACATATCATAAGGAAAGCGGGACAAAGCACTAG